TCAATCATTCACCAGCATCATGATCTAACTAAGCATCACTCAAATGGTTAGTATTTCCCTCATTATCAAACAATGCATCAGCTATAAAAACATTTTTTTTACTTCATCTAAGAAATATCACAAGACACATAATCATTTAAGGATCACTAAAGTCTTTATTTTTGTTGTAACATGGTGGGGTTACAAGAATCTTGGATTTTCTGGGATTCAAAATCGCTTAGCAGATAAGAGAGAAAAATTTATTTGTAAATTCGCTTTGTTTTTCAAAAAGTCTCTTTTATTTTCCACTTACAAAATTTTCTTCTTGGTGATTTTTCTTTTCATGTAAACTTTGATATTTTTTATTCTTTTTTCTTTATTTTTATTTTTTATTGTCAAAGTACATTCTTTCTCTCTTGTTTTAATCATAATCACCAATTAACTACTTACTTTTTCTTATTTAAAATATTTACTTCTCCCCAACTTTATCATTTAAAGTACCCTTGAATTTTAATGCTCTAACCATCCATGAATTTCTTCGTACATATCAAATTTAAAAATGGTTTTCGAAGGTAATATAAAGGTACAATCTTTCCACTCTTTCATTCATCCTAGAATTATCTCTTTCAAACAATCTATTGCTATTAAAAAGTTTTCTCATCAATCCTATTAGAAGTTGCAAGTTACCTATTAAGAGAAATCTTTTAAAGACACTTTATCGCTCCATACACCATGTAATGACCCATATGCTTTTTTCCAAGAAAGAAAAAGTGTGAAGAGATTGTGAAGGAATATGTGGTGGTCGTATGTGTGCTCACTTATAATATTTAAACCAACTAGGCATATGATGTAACATGTCATATGATGGAGTGCAAATGGAATAATTCAACATGTTTAGCATATGGAAATATTAGAGACAATGTCGGGGTTGTGTGTATAGTGGAGAAGATGGTGGAAAATAGGCTTATGTGGTTTAGGCTTATAGAGAGAAGACATGTAGATCATGTAGTAAAGAGGATAAACCATATGGAGAGAAGACGGAGAAATAGAGGAAAAGGAAGATATATAAAGAGTATTAAAGAAGTTTTTGAGAAAGATCATGAGATAAATGATTTGGATAGAAGCATAGTCTTTGATAGAACATTATGGAGAAATTTGATCCATGTAGTCGACCCCACTTATTGGAATAAGACTTATTTATTGTTGTTGTTGTTTACCATATAGACATTTGGTCACCTAAATCATCTCTGGTGCTAGTGTTAACTTGGAAGGAGAAATATTAAAGCAAGATCATGTTCAAATTCGGAACAACTTTTTAAGTGAGAGAAGGATCAAAGTTATTAATGGAGAATTGTATGAGCCATCAAGATTTCCAAACATTGATCAATATTTTCTTCCAGATTCATCCGCTGAAGCAATGTTATCCTCTCTCCTCTCAAAATCACAAGAGAATGCCATAGTTATTTGAAGATTGACCAAGCAAGTTAACGCTCTAACAAAGCATGCAACCAAGAATATAATGCCGCATATTGATGATAATAGAAACAATAAATAGTTGTCTTTAATATATGTCTTATTTCCCGCTTTAGTGTTTTTCTTATCTCTCCTACTTTTATTAACTTTTATGTAATTAACTTTTTTCTCCTGGTTTTTAATTACAAAGTTTTCTTTTTTTTTAATGATTTACGCCTTTTATTAGATCACGTGCTTGCAATATTTCCCCTCTCCTTTTTGAATTTTTCTAAGTTGGAAAAGTATACTCTCAGAGGGAGTAGAATATACTGTCTTTATCTAAAACTATATGTTGGTTTTGATGATAAAAAGGTATGAAGCAAATTTTAAGACAACAACTCTATAAGTCAAACAATTTGTGGATGTTGAGAGTTCTCTATAAAAAAGAGTTATTATCAATTGTAAAAGTAAAACTTCTAACGATGGAACTTGACAAAGAAGATATCTCAAGTTTCATCAATAATAAGATGGGTTAATAATTATTTTTCCCCTGCCATATATGCGAGTTTTGATAAATCTCCCTATAAAAGAAGTTTCAAAAACTCCCCTGCCGTATGAAGATTCCCCCGCTTTACCCCCTCAAGAAATTTATCCATTAATAATCTATTAAATTTCATATAATTTGCCGCCTGTTTTTAAGGATTTATACATATTTTGTCCCTTTCAAAATTGGAGATTTTTGAAAAAACCCTTTCCAAATTGTCAATTTTTGAAAAATCCCCTTGCCACCTTATTATTTTTTATGCTTAAATTTCTTGAGGGGGCAAAATTGGGGAATCTTCATATGACAAGGGAATTTTTGAAACTTTTTTTTACAAGGGGATTTTTCAAAACTCAACCATATGACAGGGGGCAAAATATCTATTAACCCTAATAAGATCCAAGTTCCAGTTGAAGTTCTAATTCATTATTTATCATATAAGGGAACTTGAAGATCTAAAGTTGTGATAATGTGAAAGCTTTCTTGGACCCGCGCTTAACATCTTAGAGTTACAAGTTAAAATGTAAAAGGTAAAGAGTGTGTCTTGAAGTACTATGAAAATCAAACACACATAGAAAAGTTTTTAAAACCCTCTATGATCTTATTAAATCTCTTGGAAACCTATCAAGGCGTGTGTGGAATTGATTAGGAAGTGTTTTTAATCAAGTAGAAAGGTTTTTACATTTCTAATTGATTAAGGACTTAATCAAATAGATTAGAGAAAGGTAAATGACCATATAACCGATTAGAAAAACTTTTAATTGATTAAGCCATCTAGCTATTTTAGGGTTTTCTTTTTGGGTTAGGGTTGCCGTATTTTGAAAACCCTTAATCGATTAACAAATATGGTTAATCAATTAAGTCATTAAAATGACCCTTACGTTTTTTCCATTTTGAGCCAATCTTTTTCCTATATAAGGGAGGTGTCTCCTCATTTCATTAAACACTAAAATTTTGATTAGAAAACATGTTAGTTTTCTCTACTCTCCATATTTTCATATTTTATTTTCATGAAGATTATCATAGTACCAAAAGATCGAAAAGCCTTTGTGAGATTCTTTTGTAATTGGCGTTGTGCTTTAATTTGTTGCATCCAAGAGTGTCATTCTCTTGCGGAATCATTTTGTAAAAGTTTGCAAGCTAAACCCATATAAAAGCTTGATTATAGGTTCTTGAGCTTCACCTGAATAATAACTCTAATTGTGGGTTCTTGAGATTGCCTTATGTAAAATCTCTATTTGAAGGTTTATAAGCAAATGTCGTGTAAAAGATACAAACAAAAACCTCGACTTGGTCATAGCGAACCAGACGTTGAGGGGGGAGGGGGCTTTTATTTCAGTATGGGCACATGGCCTAGAAATAACTACGACCCAATCCAACATAAAATTCCTTAAGAGACTTAACTTTCTTGGAAGATAATGAACTATATGATCAGGAATATAGATAACTCTAACTTTGATTGATTGATGTGACATCAAACCGATGACGTCAAAATTTTCAACTATGGAATCATGAAAGGTTCATGGACCACATGTCCTAGTATAACACCTGATCAAGGCAAATGATGGAAAGAGGACCCTCAGATCACAATGAATAATACCCAAACAACTGTATCTCTTTGAACATGTCTTGCATAGAAAAGTCTAGGTTCCCAAAACCATAAAACATTACTATAAAAGGAAAATAAAATATCAAATCAAAATATACACCCTTTAACCTATAGATACATCTTTGGACGTCGGAATATAAATACCATCTCCCCAAAGTTGAACCAAACTTCAAACATACTAAATTTTTTCTTTCAAAATTCACTCCTAAATTTGAATAACTTCTCATCTGCATAAACAATTTCGATTTCCACGAGATTAAGAAATATTCATAAAATCAACTAGTTTTCATATATATATATATATATATATATATATATATATATATATATATATATATATATATATATATATATATATATATATATATATATATATATATATATATATATATATATATATATATATATATATATCCTTTTAATATATTATGTAATATATAGTAAAATATATTTAAATATTGACTATGTAAAATTATTTTAGTCAAATCATGTAAAATAAGTAAATTCTTAAATATTTTAGAAGCTAATATGAAAAATTGGCATCATCTAGTAATTTGATTAGATTGGAAACTTCTATACAAAACATTTATATAATTAATTTAAATATACAAATTAAATGAGTATATAACAAGATAATATCAAATGATTAAATAATTAATAATGACAAAAAGCTCTAAAGTTGCTGGTATTGATGAAATAAAGATAACAACAATTCCAATCCTATTGATAAACTCCTCATTACTTTTCAAGATTTTGCAGTGCCCTTTTTGTTAAAATAATTCAAATTATTCACAAACTATAGACAAGTATTGATTATGATTATTAACAATGACATAAAATCAAATCAATATGATATAATATTATTAATATCATATAGTAAATTATTTAAAAAAATCCGCTGTTGAAAACAGCCCATTGGAATATCAAAGTTAGCCCCTGGTTTTGTTTTCTGACTTCTCTTTGCATAAACCAACTGTTTTCTCTCTCTCTCAACTAACCCCCTTCTTCTTGTTCCTCTTTTATATCAAATGTCAATCTTCAAATCTTCATTCACCTTCACTATTTTTCTTTCCAATTATTACTACAATTTTCACTCTTCTCTTATCTTCAACTTGTGCATCCAAAACACAAAAATTACCTAGTACCAAAAAATAAATGTAATAAAAAAATCTTACCTCATGTTTATTATTTTTTTATATTTTATTTAGTACTAAAATCTAATTCCTCTGTTTTGCTCTGTTTTTTGCTCTGCTTTTTGTTACTGTTGCTCTGTTTTTGAATTTTTGATGGGGTGTGTTGATTTTGAAGTTTGGATTGTTTTTTGGATACCCTTTTAGGTGAATTGAAGATTGCTGCATTGGATTTTTCAGTTGGTTGAGAAAGTTGAGAGCTTTGTTATTGTTGTTGGTTTTGGTTTGAATGGGGATTGAGAGAACATTGGGTGATAGAAAAGGAAGAGATTTTTGTGAATTGCAAAAGGAAACAATTACTAACAGCAGGGCAAGGAGGAACCGGAGGCGTCATAAGATGCCGCCGGTTCAGAAACTTTTTGAGACTTGTAAGGAAGTCTTTGCATCTTCTGGGACAGGAATTGTTCCTCCAGCTCAGGACATTGACAAGTTGCAATCTGTTTTAGGTACGGAGTTCTTTCTCATTGCTTTTGTTTTTAATAATTGCTTGTGTTTTGCACTTGATTAGGATGACTGAATAATCACGTGTGTCAGTGTCATGTTCGTATTCAACAATTATATGTGTTAGACACTCTTCAATTTGAATTGTCAGTGATTTATGTTGTTTATAATGTCAATTTCTGTAGTTCGGATAGTTTAGATATATTATTTATTCAATAAATTTAAAAAATAAATATTTTTTTATAATAAAGTTTGGAGGAGAGTATTTATGAAGTTTGGAATTGTTTAAATTTCACTAAAATTTCACCTAATTTTTATGTTATCATTTTATTATGAATATTATTGTTTGAGTTGTGAGAGGTTTATGCTCTTTCATATACAAATTTTTGCCTCATTTCCTTATATTGTGAGATTTGATGTGTCTTAACATGGATTACATGCATGTGTTATATTTATATTTTATATATTATATTCCAATCAAATATTAAAATGCATGTTGTTTTGTGCTATTTGTTCCTCACGAGAGATATATATTTTACATTGAAAAATTCAGATGTTATGTCAAGTACATGTTCTAATGTGAATGAGACATCAAGCATAATGATAATAGATCTCTCTCTCTCTCTCTTATGTTTCTCTTTTCTCCCCTCTTTTTATGACAAGCAAAAAAGCTTTAAATCCCTATTACTAGATATGGAACTATCAAATGTCAATCAATAATAATAGATTTTATAGCAAGGCTAAAGTTTTCTTAACATTTTTGCTTTTTGTAAGGTGATTATTTGGACATTCTTGTCAAATAGGGGGAAAATGGTTTGTGACTTTAGGCCTACTAGCCTAGGAACAAAAAAGTTCATTATTTATAAAAAGTTGTTAAACATATGAGGTCTATGTCAAAACTCAAAAGGATATTCCTCTATTCTTGTTTTATATATGAAGATGAAAATGGATACATCCAAGTGAATTTTTGTATAATACTATTCCTTTGGAATTCACTCACTTAACAATAGTAGTTTGGACACCACAAGGTTAACTACTTGTGCACTATTTCCAATGGTTATATACTATGCAGGACTAACACTATAAAATCGCGATTGGTGTTGACACCGACACATTTGGTTATATTTAACCATTTTTTACAGAGTTTGGTGTTGACACTGACACATTTGGTTATATTTAACCATTTTTTACAGATGTCTATGTGCTTGATAGGTTATATTTGAACCATCTTTGATAATTTTAATGAGTTTTATGTGCTAAGCAAAGTATACAACTCTTTTCTCACTTTTGTTCAGATGGGATTAAACCAGAAGATGTTGACTTGCGACCTGATATGCCATATTTCTTGGCAAATGCATCTCATAGAAGGCCAAAAATTACATACTTACATATTTATGAGTGTGAGAAGTTCTCGGTAAGTTTCTAAACCATCTGATTCTGAATCAACTATCATCGATATACTATTTGCACGTTAATTTAGAATATCTTGACGGTACAAAATATGCACAAAAAAAGTTGTTAGTCACCTTAATTAATAAATATGTTTTTGAATATTTGTATAGATGGGAATATTTTGTTTGCCACCATCTGGTGTTATTCCTCTACACAATCACCCTGGAATGACAGTTTTTAGTAAGCTACTTTTTGGAACTATGCACATCAAATCATATGATTGGGTTGTTGACTTGCCTCCTCAATCTTCTACCATTGTCAAATCCTCGGAAAGTAAGTTGTACAAATATTATTCACTGTTTCTTACGTCTTACTCTGATCCTATTCATAAGAAAAAATTTATTTTTTAAATTTATTGAATATCCAAAATATCAGGTTTACACATTATCCAAGTTCTATTTAAAAAGTAAACTTTTTCTTATAAATAGAATCAGAGAGAATATTTATGATCATGCTTTTGTACTCTCAGTGTTCTTTTTTCAATTGGAGAAACTATGTTATACATAGTAAAAAAGTTGGCTATTTAATTAACATTGATATTATAATTTTGCAGGCCAGGTTCCTGATTTGAGGTTAGCGAAAGTAAAGGTTGATGCCGATTTCACTGCTCCTTGCAACCCTTCAATCTTATATCCGGAAGATGGTGGAAACATGCATGTTTTCACAGCAGTGACAGCATGTGCAGTTCTTGATGTTCTTGGTCCTCCATATTCTGATATTGATGGCAGGCATTGCACTTACTATACCAATTACGCTTATTCCAACTTTTCAGGTAAATTTTCTAATTTTAGTTCTTTCTTTTCTATCTCGGATTCTATGTGGTAAAAGAAAATGCGCATTCATGTAGTTAAGGATCTTATTCGATTCTAACTTTACAAAATTGGTTTTAAAATATAGTTTATAGTATGAGTAGTTTGATCTTATCCAATAGTCGCGATTCATGATTGTGTGACAAGAGGGAATTCCTTGCAACATATCAAACGATCAATACCAAATTGCTTATAGACGAAGTACATGGATTTTCTAACTCAAAATCCATGTCATTCGATCTTTGATTGAATCGTCCAAATTCATTTGATCATGTGAATGCATTGAATGGTCCAAATTCATCTGACTACGTTAATGCTTGAACTTGTGACTGCATGTAGTCGAGATCTTTACTATGTTAATATTATCTCTCGTTCGTCTTTATTATAAGCTAAAGTCTACTTTTTAAATTCATTGAATAACTAATATATTTGGACTAAATATAGATAGATACATTGTTTATTTGAACACATTTAAATTAAATATAGATCAAATACATTGTTTATTTGAACATATTTGGACCAAATACATTGCTTATTTGTACATATTTAGACTAAATATAGACCAAATACATTGCTTATTAGCACATATTTGAATTAAATATAGACCCCACATAAACTTTAATCATGTCAATTATATGTTCAAAATTGACATGTCAATTTCATTGTGCATAATTGGAGTGCTAAAACTAACCTACAATTTGATGAAATTTCAGTTGAGGGACCATCCATACCAGAAGAGGAAAAGAATGTTTATGAATGGCTACAAGAAAAGGACCAACTTGAAGATTTAAAAGTTGAAGGAAAAATGTACAGTGGTCCAACTATTGTGGAGAGCTAGCTAATCATAATCTCTGTCTTCAAACATACACACCAACCATCTTTCGGTTCTTGTAATCATTTTCAATTTCTACAGAAAGAAAACAAAATTTCTATCAACCTTAAAGATTTCATGCTGGTTTTGTTTGTTATTGTACTTTTTTTTGGTGTTTTTTTTCTTCTTCTTTTCTTTATGGAACATCATAAAAAGGAGAAATGTTGCTAATAGAAACACCATGTTATTATTAGCTATCAACATAGAATTAGTTTGTTATTGAAATTAAAAAATAATGTTGTAGTTTGTTCTTCTTGACCTTGTATGAAATATGTCACTTATATAATTTAAATTTTCCATTATATCAAAATTAAACAAAATAAATAAGCTATTAAAAAAGTATAGTTGAATCTAATTTAATCATATAAAACTGATTTGTATGATAAAAAATATTGCTCTTTTACAAATATCAGATCATATATTGTCTTATGTAGGGTTCTTAATAAATTTCTTCTCTCGGACTTAAACTTCTTCCTCATCGGATCTTAGAACCATATTCTAATACTAAGATACAAAATATGGTTGCGATTAATTCAATCTTTTGAAATTCTAAGTACATGTTTAGGTCATGTATCATGCGATCTCAGACTCTTAACAACAATAAACTAAAATAAAAAATATGGTTACGACTAACTCAATCCTCCAAAACTTAGTCTTAACAACAATAAACTAAAATAAAAAATATGGTTATGACTAACTCAATCCTCCAAAACTTAAAACCTAAGTACATGTTAGTCCTCCAAAACTTAAAACCTAAGTACATGTTTAGGTCACATGTATCTTGCAATCTGAAACTCTTAACAATAACAAACCATAAAAATTATTCATTATATAGACATAAAATACTATATTTTTCAATTTCTTTTTTTATTAAACTTTGAAATATATATATATATATATATAATGAAAACAAATCTTGTGTTTAGATTAGATGACACTTTTTTCTTCTCTTGTGAGAAAGTTGCATGCATGTACTATTATGTTTGATGGTGACCTTATAGTAATTTTCAGCTGATGTGAAATTAATTACCTTAGAGGTACTACAATAGCCAACCAAGTACATGGTGGAAAATGTTGGTCATGCTTTGATTGATTTTTAAACTAGATTATAGATTCTTGACATTAGAGGGACATGAAAAGGTAAAAGAGAAGAATAGGCAAGTACAAATTTATGATTGAAACATGTGATAAAGACTATTTTTTTATCATAAACATGTGATAAAGACTAGGTAGCTAGGAAAACTAAGCACATTGGATTGAAGCTAGCTTGAGATGTATATTACTATATAGTCAATTAAGGTGACTCTTGGAACAACAATGAGGTTGAGCTGGCTTTATTACCTTTATTTCCTTATGTCGTGCCAAAATTTCTAACACCGCCGCTAACTTGAGCCATGATACTTATTTGTAAGCGATAATTCTTTACATTTGACTTTGGTGCAACTCATTTGTTTGTGTTTATTGATTGTATTTGTTTGTGTTTAGGATTACACTTTAGAAGCCCTAACAAGTAATTTGGTTGACATTTCTAGCGCTCATTTTGATTGCTTTGTTGTGGGAGAAATTTCAAAGTCAACTGTGTGTTTTTAACCTTAAACAAGTTTGTTTAATGTTATTCTTAGGATTGGTTACATTTTCTCTGTGGTGTTTCTCCATGAAATAATTACTAATTTTTTATTAAAGGTTGCAAGGATCAACTACAATAATTATAGACTTAGTGTTTTGAGTGTTTTTTGGGTGGGAACTAATTTATAAAAAGTAAAAGGGTAAAAGATAAAAACAATTGTAAAGTAGAGAAATTAAAGACAAGACTTGTAATTTCAAAGTAAAAACTGGAAATTACTATGAATTTTAAGGTGAAAGCGTTCATATTGTTAAGTTTGAAACTCGTTTTTCTCTTAGATGCAGGTACTTTTAGTGTAATGCTCTAAATGTGAAGAATGTTGGAACAAAGGATTTTCAAGAAAGACGATTTGTGGAAGAGGAAAAAGAAGAAGAAGAAGAGAGAGAGAGAGAGAGAGAGAGAGAGAGAGAGAGAGAGAGAGAGAGAGAGAGAGAGAGAGAGAGAGAGAGAGAGAGAGAGAGAGAGAGGAGAGAGAGAGAGAGAGAGAGAGAGAGAGAGAGGAGAGAGAGAGAGAGAGAGAGAGGAGAGAGAGAGAGAGAGATGAGAGAGAGAGAGAGAGAGAGAGAGAGAGAGAGAGAGAGAGAGAGAGAGAGATTGAAAGTTTGTTATGATTCTAAGTGAATTGTAAAAAATCTATTATTGATTACTCTTATGATTACAAACTCAACAACCCTTTATATAGACAAACAATGCTCAGACCCAAATAGACAAAACACGCTAAAGCCCAAATATAATTTCGACATACTATAATATTTGTTGTATTCGACTTTGTTAAATACAGCTTATAACCTATACAATAAGCTATTTGACATACACCATACACATGCATTTCGACATAACATGAATTATGCTTCTAACACATTTCTTAGTTCATATTCTCGAGACTTCTCATGCCGATGCTTCACTTTAACTCGTCAAATCTAACTTTTTTTAGAGGTTTGGTAAATATGTCAGCTAGTTGCATATCTGTCTTGCAATGCTTTATCTCCAGCTTTTCTTTGTTGACTTGATCCCTCAGAAAATGATACCTCATTTCTATGTGCTTACTTCGACCATGACACACTGGGTGATTCGCCAGGTTAATAGCTGACTTGTTGTCGACAAACAACTCCATCTTCTTAGGTTCCATTATCCTGAGTTTTTCAAGTAACATTTTAATTCATGCTGCTTGGCATATAGCATATGATGCAGCCACATATTCTGCTTCGCATGATGACAAAGCCATAATGTTTTGCTTCCTTGAACTCCAAGAGATTGGAGCACCTTCGATCATTAAAATGTAGTCTGCAGTACTTTTCTTTCCGTCTTGATCTCCACTGAAATCTGAGTCAATGTATCCATGAACTTCGACATTTGTGATGTTCTTCGACTTCTTTTTTAATAGCACACCATGAACTCTTGTTCTCTTTATAGCTTGGAAATGTAAAGAATATTGCTTGCAGCTTTGAATATGCGTGAGTGGTTATGTAGAAAATCGTCTTTGATTTTGAATACTGACTTTGTTTATATAGGCAGTGGAATAACGTTGATCATCAAGCATGTTTAATGTCATTAACACACTTTCCACTTGGAGAAAATCCTGTCTGAAAGAAGCCGTTGGAATTGATGCTGTCTTAAATAATCAGTAATGCTTCAGAATCTTATCTCCTTACTTGCTGATGACGCTTCAGAATATTGATGACTTGGATTAAAATGTTCTTGTTCAGAATCAGAGTTTACTTTGTTTAAGCGTAGGTTCTGCTCATCAATCTTCAGCGCATGTTTTGATTGCTTCAGCGTGTAACTCTTATGGCTTATCTTCTGATGCTGCTTTGGTCAGAACTTCTTCATACATAAAACATAATTTTTAGGGTGCATATTTGTTCTTTGTGTTTGTCATTAGTTCTTTGTATTTGTTATCATCAAAACTCTAACTAAGGGTTATAGAATCAAACTATGTTCTAACAATCTCCCCCTTTTTGATGATGAGAAAAACTATATTTTTCAATTAAAAATAAAGAACAAAAGGTTTAAGAGAAACTCCCCCTAAGTTGATTACTTCCCTTAAGTTCCTTGAGCATCAGAGTTTAGCTGCATCTTTCATCAGAATTTGTACCTGTTTAAACTTTTCAGAAGATAGAGGTTAAGTAATTTAGAATGTTTGAGACTTCTGTCTCGGTAAACCATTATTAAAAATATCTTACTTTCTCCCCCTTTTTGTCAGTTATCAAAAAGTCAATATAATCAGAGCCAAAATAGTTGAATTATATTAAAAAACATGATGCAATGATAAGTTCCAGAATAGAAGAGGTAAAAAATTAAGCGTTACAAATAAATAGATTTAAAACAAAAATCTAAGAAGGAGGGGGAATACGTGTGAACAAAGCTTCCAGCAAGATCTTGATCTGAGTATTAGACTCTTCTTGCTTGCCCAAAATGCTTTTAATCTCTTTGTTCGTGTCCTCCTGCTTATCCAACCTTGCATGGATTAGAGCATTTTCTTTCTTCAACTCTTCCAGAGTTTGCATGACTAAGGAAGGTGCTGGAGTTTCTTCAGGAGTTGGATGTTGCTCAGAGAATTCTACAGCTTGTTCAGAGTGAACCATTTCTTCTGCTGTGATCATGTCTTTTGGAGCAGTAGTCAGGGAGAGACTTTCTGATTCTGGTTGAACTTCATCTGAGGGATGATGCTCTGTCCAGGGAGCATTATCCAGAGAGAGAATATCTTTCTCGAGAAGCTAGCTCAGAACTTGGTCTTGAAAAGCCTTCATCTTAGCACTAAAGTTCTGCTGAACCTGTTCACAACTCTGTTCCTTCAGCTTTAGCGTTTCAGAACTGAGCCAGTTTCTGAATTTTGTCAACATATAATCAGAAGCAGCAGGATTAGGTCATCTCTTGACTATCATGCTTCAAAGAATTTATCCATTCCTGTATTCTTGTTTCAAAAATCAACAAACTTGTACCAACATCTGATGTGGTTTCAGTTGGTTTAGGTTTGGGAATGACAGTTTTGTGAGAGATAGAAGCTAGTCTTTCCAACACAATTAGATCAATGACAAGTCTTACGTTGTCAGCTGGACTGTTAGTGGGTGAAGGAGTGGGAGAGTCAGGTATGATGATTGGACTGGTAGGGGAGTTTGGTGGTGTGGATTCCAGAGATGAAGGGATTTCTCGAATGTCGTGGATGGTGAGAGGCAGGCGAATAGCAAGTGGTTCTATGATTCCAGGTATTGGGATTGTATCAGAATCTAAATGAGGTTCTTCAGATTGGTTTGTTGAAACATGGTGAGGTTCTGGTTCATGGATATCAGAAGATTAATTCTCAAAAGGTTGAGCTTCTGGTTGTTGTATTTCAGGTTGAGGT